GTGGTTCAGAATGCAAGGCCACGGTGGGTGGGCATTGTTCACATCTGTAAGCAAGAAAACTGGGCTTCAGAGCATTCATTGACCCCACTAATAAGTAATAGAGTTAGATGCCAGCTCTCACGCTCTCTCAACTGCACTGTATTGTGTCTGATGTTGTAAAGTTTACCCAAAAAAGAGAACATTTAAATCGATTCTGCATGCAGTGGGTGTGTTCAAGGTTGGTGACATCTATAAATGGAGTCCTAAAGCCACACACACAAAGGGAAATAAGGAATGGAGGTTCCCTGGGCTAAGAAGGCTCGCTCTTCTCTGGGATCAAGCAATGGCTGGGTGCATGGCTAATGTCAAATCTTGCTTAAGAAATACACCAGAGAGGAGTTACTAACCTTAAGTGTTCCAGACTGCCCCGGGGACGCCTGAGTTTCCATTATTAGAGATGGTTTTGTATTAAGGGAACACTCTAGCCCCATGATTCTAGGGATTGGAGAGGCCACTTTATCTTTTGGAAGGTCTCTGTTGGAGATGTCACCACCACTCTGAAAGCTCTGCTGTGGCACCAAACGGGACCCGCTTTTTTCTTGCTTTTTTTTTTTTAACAGGGAATATAAGACCAAATGTTGGTTGAATGAATGAATATCTACAGTCAATTCACCTACACACAGTATAGTTTGCATTTCAAAGACGTTGCATCGTTTTCTAATGTCGAAAGCGTGAGGATATTTTGCCCCATATCAAACACATATTGGGGATAGCTGTAATTTTTCAAAAGCCAAGAAGGGAGAGAAAAAATAAGCCTTAACAGGCCGGGCGCAGTGGCTCATGCCTGTAATCCTAGCTCTCTGGGAGGCCGAGGCGGGCGGATTGTTTGAGTTCAGGAGTTCGAAACCACCCTGAGCAAGAGCGAGACCCCGTCTCTACTAAAAATAGAAAGAAATTAATTGGACAACTAAAAATATATAGAAAAAATTAGCTGGGCATGGTGGCGCATGCCTGTAGTCCCAGCTACTCGGGAGGCTGAGGCAGGAGGATCGCTTGAGCGCAGGAGTTTGAGGTTGCTGTGAGCTAGGCTGACGCCATGGCACTCTAGCCCGGGCAACAGAGTGAGACTCTGTCTCAAAAAAAAAAAAAATAAATAAATAAGCCTTATCAGTCTTTGGTAATTTTGGCTTTGGAAGAGAACAGGAGATCTAGTTCAAAAGCCAGAATGTTCCCAGTGCAAGGGTTTGTGCTTATCCTCTGCCAGGGTGGTCCTGCTGTTCAGAGATGAAGATTTGGGAGCTCGTAACGCTAATGATGTGTAAATGCATTTTCAGCTATTTTATTGAGCTGGGCTTTCCAGGTTCATTATCATTAATATTTATGGTTGGAATCTGCTCCTCCAGAGACTCTGCAAATAGCTTTCCTATTGTTCAGGTAAAATTTATGGCAAGTTGGACTAAGAGGAGCTACCACTTAAGCCGGGGGCTCGTACTTCTCATAGGAAATGAAAGCTTCACCGATGGGCTTGGGTGGGTGTGGATCTTCAGCCTATGGGGCCAGCCATCTTTTCAACAGCGGCCAGTAGCTATGCTCTTATGAACCCAAGAGGAAGTGTGAAGGTCTATGTGCCTGAGGGCAGAGAGGCGTGGTGCAAATTCTCCGAAGTCACATCCTTCTCTGTTGTACCTGGTTCTGGCAAGTTCTACCTTTTGCTGCCACGGTCTCTGCCCTGACAAAAGGTCACAGTCTCTTCTGGATGGAAAGGTACAGGCAGGACTACTGCCGATTCCCTGCCCAGTGGGATGGAAGGGCCATCCTCCCTGGAAGAGGCCACGTAGAGCCCTGGCACTTGTGGCAGCACCATCTGCACCTGCCAGAGATTGCACACAGCTATGTCTCAAATGGGGCTTGAAATTTCTGGCTGGGCCGGGAGGAAGGAAGTGGCTTCACCACTCAGCCATGCATCTGCTGATGAGCTCAGGGTGGGCTGGGGAACTGCGGGGAGAAGACAGATTTAGGCATTGAAATCAAATGTTACCTGTGGTGCACTTTAAAACAATGAGCTATTCTATACCTCCTAAAAATAATTTTTTGGGGGAAGGGCATGGAGGGGGTTCTCACAAGAGCTTGAGTCCCCGATAAGGTCATAAGTGCCAATTCCGTGAGCATGACCAGACCGGTACAAGTTCACATACCTGACGCCTTAGAGACAGCTGACAATGGGCTCAGGTGAAATCCTCACCTCACCTGTAAAACCAAGGGATGGGATAGATGGTCTCTATGGCTCTCTCCAGCTCTGAAAATTTGGGACTCTAAATGGAATGGACTGCATCAGTGCATTTCCTTGACATTTGGATCCTCGCGAGACCTGGTTTATGTTGGAAACTGTCAGCAGATGCTGAGGCCGTCCAGGGATGAGTGAGGATCATGGTACTCAGACTTCCCTGGGCTGAAGGAAGAGGTTGGAATGAGAGGTGAGTGCTCACCTGTGACGCAGACCTGCTCTTGGCTGGGTTTCCTGTGGTTACAGGCCGTGTCTGGCCCAATCAAGGGGGGTTGGAGGGGAGTAGAGGGCAGGTGGCACTGGGGACTCTAGGGAAAGCAAATACAAACACGATACCACCTAGACTAGAGGTAGAGAAGCAGAGAATAAGGGTTCCTAAAAACAGTAAAGAACTAGAGACATGACAACCAAATGCAACGTGTGGCCCTTGATAGGCTCCTGGATTTTAAAAAAAAGGTATAAAGGGCATTATTGGAACCACTGGGAAAATTCGAATATGACTTCATATTAGATGATACCATGGTATCAATATAAAATTTAAGTATGAAATTGGTTTTGTGGTTATGTAAGAGGATGTTCTTATTTGGGGGAAATACCTGCTATTATGGTTATCTGCAACTTTTATATGTTATGTGTGTGTATCCATATACAAAGTATCGATTTATATATGTGCATTTACAGAGAGAGACGATGCAATGTCATAAAATATGAACAGCTGGTGAATGTGGGTGAAGCTTACAGGAGTGTTCATCATGCTATTGCTTCTAACCTTCTGTCCATTTGAAGTCTTTCAAACTAAAAAGCGAGGGGAATCGCTCAGACTCAGCTGGCGCTACGGGCGGCTCTCTCTCCTGCAATACCTTTCTTCTGTGTTCACGCAGCTCCAGGTTAGGGAGTTCTCACACCTGCGATGGTTCTGGCGCACTTCATTTGTTCTCTCCTCTCTGCGGACAGAATCGGCATCCTCCTCGTACTCGTGCTGACTCCATGAGGTGAGGGACCTCAGGGCTGTCCCTGGAGCTCATTTACTTGCGTCTCGGACCATCTTCCTCACCACCCAGGTAAGAGCCATTTTTGACTAACAGCGGTAGCGGCGGCGGCAGAAGCTAACATTTGCCGAGGACTCACTCTGTGCCAGGCACTGTATCTGTACCAGCTCAACAGATTCTCATAAACCAGCCTTGGTGAGGTTCTTTTATCACCCCATTTTACAGACGAGGCTCTGAGGCTCATACTGTTTACAGACGCCACAGCCAGAATGTGAAGAATCTATTATAGGACCAATGACTCCAAAACCTTCCTTCCTGACCACTATGAGTAAAGGGGAACATTTGCAAACTGTATGTGTGCACGCCCCACTCCCAGGTGTACTGGGTTATGCAGGGAGGCTCAGACGTCTGTTGCATGCACAGGTTTGGCTGTTTGGCTTCCGCCTCCATTGCCTCTTAAACCTTGGGTGAGTTGCATCCATGACCTGTCTCCTCTCCCAGCACCACCTGGAGAGGAAACCCTGTAACCTTAGGGATTTGCCACAGCCCTTCCCTTCTGCTGATACCGCCGTCCGTGCGGGTTGGCTGTTTTAGCCTCGCAGGCTGCAAGCTGGGGCCATGGGCGTGGTCGAACAACTTACCTTGCACCGTTCTGCACACTTGGCTTGCTGTGGCGTTGTAGCAGGCACATAGGCGAAAAGGCCTGTGGACCCCTGCGTAGGATAACTTGTGCCTCCTAACAAGAACCCCCTGGGGAGGAGGACAGAGGCACAGGAAGGGCAGGCTTCAGCTGTGTAATGGTTCATTGCTTATTTTTTGGATGGATCTTAAGAGAATTATGTTGAATGAAAAGAGTCAATTCCAAAAGGTTACATACTGTAAGATTCCATTTACATAACATTTTTGATATGGAAAAATACGGAAATGGAGGACAGATCAGTGGTGGTCAGGAGGCTAATGGTGGGGTGGGGGGGGCAGCGTCGATTTCCAGCTTGAGCTACGGTACTAGGGCTTTGGAAGATGTTGCCACAGGGGAAGCTGGGTAAAGGGTACACAGGGTCTCTGAGGGATTTCTTACAACTTCATGAGTCTTCAGTTATTTTAAAATAAAAAGTTCAGTTAAAAAGGGGGAGGATATAAAGCAAATATGGCAAAATATGAACATCTATTCTTTATGGGTTTGGGGTACATGGAAATCTTTTATATTACTTTGATGATTTTCTGAATGTTTGAAATATCTAGTAAAAACAAAACCCTCTGGCGTTATCTCCCTAGCCTCACGTGTATCTGGTCCCCTTAGGCTGCCGTGCTAGAAGCCCGAGTCTGAGGGATGGGGGAGGCATGGAGCGGTGGCACTGACCCCCGCTGAGGACCATGCTTCTGACTTCCTGGTGTCCTTGTCCAACCTGGGAGAGCGTCAAACACTCCTTGAGCCACGCGGCTTTCTACTTCTCTTGTAGCTTCCTTGATGCTCCCCTGAATCTCCTTGGCAGGTTGTGGAAGCTTCATGCTTCTATTCTTGGTGACGGCTGCTTCTAGACTAGAAGACCTGTCCCAGGGAGGGCTGTCTTCTCACTAGCATCCTTCAGTTTTATCTACTGTACAAAAAATGGAGGCGTACATGCCAGAATTCGTTTATTATATAGCAAAAGCACAATACAATACACAACACAATCAACAGGGACTAAATGAGACATGTAGAATAGCTTAAATGTAAACATAGAAAAGAATGTGCGGAGAGTCAGCTGGATTGGAATACAATTTTAGTAATCATTACATAGTGAAGTGTTTCCAGCCCCATGTCACTAGGACATCCTTGGCCGCCGCAGCAGGTCTATTCACACGGATTCTGAATGACAATCAGAAGATATTCCTTATCTACAGAGAGACATGGACAAAATTAATTCACCCTAAAATTAAATTTAATAAGTGGATATTTCAGCTAATCTGCTTTTTCTCTTCAAAACATCACATGGACCTGGCGTAGACCCATGGTTTCTCACTCTGGTTGCAAAGCAGAGTCACCTGTTTAGCCTTCAGAAAACAGCCACCTCCCAGGGCCCAGCCCCAGGGATGGTCGGGGAGGAGTCCTAGCATGGATAGTTTTCGTGAAAAGCCCTCCAAGCGATTTTAATGTGCAGTCAAGGTGAGAACACAGGTGCTTTCTTTAGTTTATAGGCAATTCTGATCTGATATATGTGCTACGGAGAAGTTCGTTCTAGACTAGATTTAGCAGCATAAGTCATATTTTATAGTCATTTACTAACACTGTGAACGTAATTCCTGCAAGGAAAGAAGTGTTTGTGTGGCTGCTGTCTTCTGGGAGACCTGGTGGATGTGCTTGCCCCGCGGGGAGGGTTTGAGACCCTATCTGCCGAGATCCACCCCCTACCGTATCTCCAGCACGGGGGACATTTCTTGCACCCTCCAGAGTCTGTGCGCTAAGTTCACTGAAAATGAGACCCACATCTCCTAAATTTTTTTGACCACTACTAATAAATGCAAGCGGGCAAAAATTCATCTTGTTCAAAGGTCACGTTAATTGCTAATTTCATACAATTTTCAGACTGGAATCTTTAGTCAAATGTCTTTGCTTTATAACTGACGAATAGTGTTTGATATTGTACACTAAAATCTATAGTCCCCATTCTTTGAAACAAGGCTTTTATCCAATAAAGTACAAAGATGCTTTAAATATGAAACGAAATGCCAAATTACCTGGCGCTACCATGATTTCGTGTTTCTTTGATCTGATCCTGAGAAAAGTGAGGTCGTTCTGAGGATCGATGTCGCGGACCGTGCTCCGGGCTTTCGTCGTCAGCTGATGAAGCAGACCTGCGTATTGAACTGTGGTCGAGTTGTCCAAGGTTGTTCGGATAGGAATACCTACCAGGAGATTTAATTTTTGGTTAATTTTTTTATTTTAAAAGTCTGTGTGCATTTCGGAAGTATTGGAAAACACTGATAACTGTAAAGAGGAAGAAAACGTGATGGCTGCTACTACTGGTATTCATTTTAGTTTCTTTCCTTCCAGTCTTTTTATTTCTAACTAGATTTTTAAGTATACTTGGGTAAAACTATATTTGCCAATTTGCCTGTTGCTTTTTTCTTCATTTAAATTATAGCATACAAATTGCCCTTGTTGACAGTGTCATCGACATTATTTTTAATCCCTGCACACTTTACTATTTTCTGGATATATCATAATCAATCCTCTGTTTGGTCACTTGGTACTTTACAATTTTTTATAGCTAATGGAGTGATGGGACATTTTTGTGCATGAGTCTTTTGGAAGCTGTTAACTGATTATTTCAGTACTAAGTTAACATATTTTTATATAAAATGCATTCCCCTAAGTGTCCTGTCTACAGCGAGTCTGCTTTGAAATGCTTGGTCTCTGACACGCTGTTAGTCTTCTTCTCTGAGGCCAGAAACATAAAGGGATGTCACCGCACATGCTAGAGAGCACATCAAAGGGGATTTTCAAAATTCCTTTATAACCCCTCACACAATATTTTGCAAACCCTCAAATTTAAGTTAGAAAATATGGTAACAAAGACATTGTAGTTTTGCTATGCATTCCCTGGCTTGCACTCATTCTTGGTTTAAACATTATTTAATTGGGCTACTTGTGTGCTCGAGTGTTCTATTGTATGAGTTTAAAATGATCTATGAACTGGAAAATTCTAGCCAGATAAATATGCAAGTATAATTCAATTTAGTTGAAATCAATCTAGCTCAATTCAGGTGACCCAGCGCCAGTGCCTGTTAGGTACCAGGTGCTGTGGCAGGTATTTTACATGCATTATATCTAATCAGAGATAGCCTTCATAGTATTTTGAGAACAACCAGATAGCCAGGAAATGCCAAGGATTTGATTTGCAAATGTGCCTTTACTTTAGGCGGACTTATGAAGGTGAATTTGGGATTATTGTCAAATTCCTTAGGTACCTGTATTAAGGCCAATCAATTAAAGAGTCTAATGTAGCTCTTGGTTTTCCTTTTGACAGTGTAGCTCCAGAAACTACTAAATAAGATGAGCACTTTCAAGAGTGAAAGACTATTACAAACTTAGGATTTTACCAAGTTTTCATAAAACTCTTGGAGACCAACAGTTTTGACTTTGAAACAGATTGATTTCTTTTAAGATAACTGTTATTCCAGAATAGGTCTTGCTAAGCATTAGAGGACAATATTTACAGGGAAACCTATTCAATAAATCAGGTATCATATAAACCTTGTTAATTTTTGTATTATTTTTTCACTTTTTCCCTAAAAGGCAGTCAGTTGTCTTTCACACCTGAGGAAAGATTACAAAGCATGGCTCTTTAACAAGCAGGAAGCAGAAATGCAGCAAGCACTCAACCTTAGAAGGGAACCTTTTGACGAATACCTTTATTTTGCATCCTAAATAGTGACTACCAAGTCTGCATTGCTCAGTATGAAAAGAAGAAATAAACCCAGGATAAGTTATTTGAAATGTAGATGACAAGAATATGAATCAGATGCTCAGGTCTATTTTGTTAGTCTATTCATGATCCATGTCAATAAATAAAACAGCCTTTCTGAATAATAAGCGTACAATGTGGAAACGCATGGAGTTTTTGGTATTCACCATAGACGTTTGAAATAAATCAGTCAACAAATATTTATTGAGTTCTTGCTTGATACCATGTGAGGTGATTAAAAAATTATTGAAAGTAATTTTAGCACATGGTATAAACTTCAGCCACTTCCCTTCTCAGATGCAACCATTGTTCCCAGTTTCTAAGGTATTCTTCCAGAGATATGTTTATACTCTGTATTTTAATGGTATCATGCTTTGTTTTGTACCTTAAAATTTTTTCATTTAATATACTTGGGAAATTGCTTGATACAGTATACATGAAGCTAAGTAATTCATGTTAATGACTAAATAACGGTCTGTTGAATGGATGTTTTGTAAAGCACTTGACCAATATATCCTCCTGATGGGCATTAAGGTTGTTCCCAATCTCTGACTTTTATAAGCGAAGCTACAGGATGTGTCCTTGTGCATGGTCATTTCACTTCTGTATGTGCGTGTAGGATAAATTCCCAAAATGGAGCTCCTAGAACAAAGAGTATGTGCATTTTAAAATTTGATATTACTGAATTTATGGCACTACTTTAAAATACGACTCTTCATGATCCTAGTAAGCTGGCAGTCATTATTTGAGTTTATCATCTTCAACTACACATTTGTACTTTGGTTGATAGATTGTATTTCAAAATAAAAGGAATTGCCTGGATGGCTGATAAAATCTAATGAAATTCAAATGATGGATTGTTAGAAATGTCAGGGATATTTAAAATTAAGAGCCTACAGAAATCAGGCTTATGTATATAATATATGACAGAGCTGGCTATCTGGGAGACAAATATATATATATTTACCTGTATCTAATTCAATGATCAGTGTTGCAATATTGTAAACAATGGTTTCATAAATGGGAAACCAATGTTAACGAAAAATCTGCTCTAATCAAAACCTATACCACTCAGGATTGGGCGAAACTGATAAGTCTACTTTATTGTCATGACTAAGAAGTCTATGTTTCAATGGCAGTGAAACCAAAGGACTGTATTTCACGTGGATATGATGATATCTAAATGAATAAACATGGTAGAAGGCCTACCTAACCAAAAATACAATCTGAAAATATGTTAACGTTATTTGCCTAGAATTAGTAGACCAAAAGCACTAGTAGAGAACAAGAATACATAAACACCATCTTCGTTAAATATTTGTGGTATAAAATTTCACAGGACTTCCCAAAGCTGCAAAACTATGGTATAATCAATAGCACTTTCATCTAAAATTGAGTAGGCTGTTGAAATTGAGTATTTTATTGCATTGTGGTCATGCGATTTATACCATATACTATTAATAAACATCTTTGTCATACATTCTAGTTATTAATAATCTGACTATAAAAATAAGCCCCTCATTTACATTTTTTGTAAAAAGGTTAATTTGGCTTGTAGGTAAAAACTTTGGGTATCCAGAAACCTTGAAAATTGCCCTGGATCCTAACACAACTTTATCCTAGTAGAAGTTAATTAGAAGTGAATGGGTATTAAAAGTATTTTGTTGCTTTTGGAGAAGTGCTAATTGAGAAACCTCAGGAAAATAAAGCAAAAATCACTTTTGGTCCCACCACTCAGAGATGATCACTGTGACGTCCCCTTACCCTTTTTTCCACAGTTATTTCAAATACACGCGTGCACCTGGCTACGTACAGGATTAGACAATGCTGACTGCTGCTCTGTTCTCTGCTTTTTTCATCTAATATTGTGAATAGTTTTCCTTGACACTAAATACTCTTCAACATTTTAAATAGAGTAACGTTCATCAAGTAAATATTACGCAGTTAATTTAAAAACTCCCCTACCGTTGGGATAGCTTTATTTACTTGTCTGTTTACTTACTGCTGTTCTACATGATGCCTCAGTGGGTCTCCTTGTACCTAAATCTTTTCTTTATCACTCCTTAGGATAAATTCCTAGCAGTGGAGTTACAGATTGAAGGGATGGACATTTTTTAGACATTTGATGCATATCACCAGGATTACCTACTTTAGACCAAGATCTTCCAAGCACATTAGAGGAGTCGTTCTGGGTGTCACGGGTGAACGCACCTGTACAGGGTTAAATAGTGGCCCCCTCAAATTCAAGTCCACCATGAACCTCTGAAGGTGATTTTATTTGGAAACAGGGTCTTTGCAGATGTAATTAGTTAAGAAGAGGTCATACTGGATTAAAGTGGGCCCTAGTCTAATAACCGGGGTCCTTATAAGAAAACAGAGACACAGAGACACAGAGAGAATGCCAGGTGATGATGGAGGCAGAGATTGGAGGGATGTAAGCCGAGGAACACCAAGGATGGACACCAACCACCAGCAACTAGGAAGAGGCAAGGAAGGATCCTCCTGCGCAGTCTTCAAAGATAGCATGACTCCCCTGATGTCTTGATTTCAACTTCTGGCCTCCAGAACTAAGAGAGCATAAATTTCTGTTGTTTTAAGCCACCAAGTATGTGGTACTTTGTCACTGTGGCCAAAGGAAACTAACACAGCACCCCTATGAAATCACGTGGAGAGCCCACTATGCAAATACCTGGAAATAAAATTAATTCAACCAGATCCACACACTAGGGCTGGACTGCTGCCTGGCAATATTGACCTACCTGTTAAGGCTGATCTTAAATCCCCTCTCCCCCCCCACCGATGACTTAAGCTTGGTGAATTTATTATATTTATTGTATGTGTGTGTGTATCTCACTCATTTGGCATTGATTTATTTTTAATTTTATAAAACAAATGTTTCCTCTGCATAAATCAATTAAAAATTTCCACATTCTCAGAACTGTTTAATTGCAATTCTCTTAAGTATTAGGTATTGTGTCAGGCACTTGATAATTATTATCTCATTTAATTGTCAAAACCACCAGTGAAGTAGGTTATTTTCCCATTCTTCACGGTAAGGAATTTTAGTTCACAGTTTAAACAGACTTTCAGTTGATAGTTGTTCAATAAATATTTACTGATGGATTTTGCCCGCACACCAAGTTGGTAATATGCCAGTTCCATGGTTCCACTGTGAATTATGTGAAGCAGCTACTCTTATTTTAACAAATGCTCTGGAATTTCTGTCACCTCTTGTCCTTACAAATGCCTGAATTAGCAATGAAACCAGCAGGAACCTTTAAGAGGTCGCCGCCACAGCTGAGCATGGAGCAATGTGCCAGAGAAAATGCTGTGTGGATTCTTAACAAGCTTTGTGCAGCAAGAGCAAGTTTCTGGTAAGTCTACAGATTTCATTGTTGGAAATGTACTGGCCCTTCTTATATTGTTTCCACAAAGACTACACTATAAATGATATTAAATTCTCAAATATTTTTATTAACTACGGTAAAGGATCAATTTCACTTAAAATGAAGACCGAAACCCTGTACCCTTTATAATATTAAACAAAAAGAAACTACTAGCAATAATACACTCCCTATATTCAAAATGATAGTTTTACTGGCACTTTTGAAATGCTGGAAGGGAATTATCAAAGCTTTAAATAATAGACAACATATAGTGTTTCTTAGGAATATACAGACATTTTAAGGCATGTTTTATATGTATTTATATCCCTAGCTCTTAGAAGAATGCTTGGCATATAACATATACTCAACAGATGTTTGACAAGTAAATGCCACAGTGAAAATATACAAATATGCTTTTGATTTCAATTTCTAAAATGTTAGCCTTAAGGACTGACACAACAAACAGGTCCTGGTTGGCTTTTGTGTGTCAAGAACACAGCCTGTGACATATTTACCTTCTGCATTTACAACCATATTTCCAATAACCCCCTTATGGCTCTGGATCCGCTTTAGGGTTTCCTCCACCTCTGCCTGGAAGAGATCAGAAAGGCAGTTAACCAAAAGGGTCTTTGTGATGACCCCAACCCCAGGGAGGATAATGTTTTAAAGGATACCTACTCCTCTATCTCCTTAACTTAAGGTGCTGTGTGCTATACTTCAGACTTTGGAAAGACAGCTTTGAAATTGTCAAGTCCCATGTAAAAACCTATATAAGGCCCCTGCACACAACCCTGACAAATCTCTTGGTTTAAGCCTTGTAGAGAAAGAGATCTTATTGCCTCACAAGCACTCACTCCACTTATATCTGTTTCCATTTGCTAGAAGGTTATTCTTTACATTGCACAGAAATCTGCCCAGATCATCATTTACTCATTGACTTTTCTGCATTCACATGAAAAATTTCTTTTCTACATTACAGTCATTTAAATATTTACAGAGCTATATATCATGGCTTCCCTCTGTCCAGAAGTGGTCCTTAATGAGAATCTTATTTTCATTAATGCTACCTAATTGGGTATTCAGGGGATTAAATTTACAGAAGGATAGTCTAAGAAAACAACATTTTGCAGGATTCCAGGGTTTTCTTGATTAACTATAGCTTGGGTCTCAGTGCAAGCTACATGTTCAACCATGGATGATTATTTTGGAATCCATCATTGTGTTCTAAACTCACCTTTCTCAATCCTATGTATGGACTGTATTGTATCAGTTTTCTTCCCCTTTAGAAATGCCAAAATCAAAAGTAATCTTTTCCAAACCTGTATATTGTTCATGACTAAGCAATCGATCACTGAATATTCTGAATTCAAATAGTATTCTGCAGTCTCTTGATGAGGGTGTGCTATATTTTTTCCCCCTCAACATTCCACAGGTGAACGTTATGTTACTTTTGTCAAATGTGGGTACGAGCACTAATTTCCTCTTTGTCACCGACATAGCATGTGTTTTCAGAATTTCAGGCATTTGTGTGCTAGATTCACAATTTTTGCCATTATGAATACCATCTATATTATTTAGTGTGCTCTTTAAATTATCTCACTGCTAAAAGCTTAAACAAATGCATTTCAAGAGGAAACTATACACCACTACCACAAACGGAAACCCGGTATTATTTGTCATAAATAGAAATAACTGTAAAGACAAACAAAATAAAGAGAAAGTAGAATATATTATTAAATTCTACCGCAATGAAAGCTCTGAGCTTGAGGTCTACTCTTCAGGTGAAAAAATGGAAATTACCAGATGATAGTGGTATTAAGGATTTAGGAGTCAAAAACTTTCTCCTGTACATAGTCTAAACGCTCAACAAAATGCAAGAGGAATAATTTTCTCACGATGTGATTCATGCTATTATTTGGCATTTCCGGGCCATCTTATGTAGCAACTAATGTTTGCATCTCACTTTGGGAGACACTGCACTAAGGCATAATAGTTGCATAGGGGATCAACAATTTATTGCATTTTTGGTCATCTTTACGACGTCCACAGCTCCTTACAGCCACTGTCCTCATTTATCTTTCTCTTTTTTACTTCTTTCCCAAACTCCTATTTCTTCTCTCCCTGACCCTTCTCGCCTCCCAGTTTTTCCTCTTCTCATGATTTCTGAGACCTCCTAATACAATCTCTTAATCCCCATTCCAATCTCCTTTTCATTCCTCTTAAAGCTCTTTGCTTTCCCTAGTTTCTACTTTCCTTTTCTTACTTTTGCCTTGGGGGGGGCCCTCCCCCTCCCTCTCCTCTTTCCTTCTTTCTCTTTATTTTCCTTTCTTCTCTCTCTTAATATCCATCCCCCCTTCTTCCCCTTTCCATGCCCGTGCTCTCCCCGTCCCACCCCTCTCAGGATCTGATTTTTCTCCACTGCATCTCGCTCCTCCCCTTTGGCAAAGGTTCCTGGCTCCCAGGATTTCTCATCCGCCTCAGCATTTTTCACCCCCCTCACTCTCTCTCTCTCTTACCTTTCTCATCATCACCCCTCCCCAAGTACCACCCCCCGAAATCAGCCCTCAAGATAGCTTCCACCCATCTGGACAGCATCTTCTCCCTTTCCAAGGTCTCCCTCTCGCCCAAGAAGCTTCCACCAGCCCTCTCCGAGGCCCGCGACTTCCCGGGAGCCGGGCAGCGAAGGCTCCTGGCGGCCGGCGTCCTTGGAGCGGCGGGGCGCGGGCAGAGACCCCAGATTTACCATCGCGCGGGCGGCGAGACTCCGGGCTCAGTCCGGCGCCGCAGCCTCCCGGGATGTCAACAACGCTTCCAGCCGTTGCTAGGAGACAAAGGAGGAAGTGACCGCCCGGAAGTGTCGGGACCGCGCCTGCGCGCGCGCGCGCGCGTGCGGGGCGGGAGGCTGCTGGGGGCGGCTCTTCCGCCCTGACCGTAACCCTGACGCCTTCCGGCCCCCGTAGGCGAAGGTTCTCGAAAGCGAGCAGCGGGCTCTCACCTGGGGTTCACCCAGGCCGGGGGCGATGGGGCGGAGGTGGGGAAGGGGAGAGCGGGCCGGGCTCCGGCTCGGGCGTCCGCCCATTCATTCCTTTAGGCCCGCGCCCGCGGAACAGCCGCTCGCTCGAGAACTCCCTGAGCGCCCGCCGCGCACCGAGCTCTCTTCTGGGCCCGGGGACACTAGCCGGGGAGGCAGACAAAATGCCACAAACTGGCATAATACCCAGTGCGATACGGGCTCCGGAGCTCTTAACCGGGGGCTGGGTCCGTTTTCCTCCGGGGTTGGGCTGCTTTGGGTAGTTGGTGATAGACTCAGCTGCCTGTGCAGCGCCCACACGTTCGCTCGCCCCCAGTAGTTTTCATGTTGTAGGAAAACACAACAGCATTAAGTAGTACAACTGTGTGTGTGTGTGTGTGTATTTGCCCACACCCAAATCGGTGAGTAAGCGCTGTCACTTAGTTGTAGCACCCCCTCACTGCTCTCAACTCAGTTGGAGATGCTGCTTGCCAGTATTTTTGTTTAATCCGTTAGGATCTTCATGCCATGTTTTTGGTTAAAGATCTAAGTTGCTGAAATATTACAAGTGGTACTCTGCAAGTTCTACAGATTGCCATAGAAGAGCATTCTAATGGGTATTTAAGGACCGGATGGAGGAAACAAATTAAAGATAAATAGGGATGGTCAGAAGTCACTTGACCTTTTGAAGGACATTGATAATAGCCTCATAGCCGGGGAGGAAGAGACCACCTATTGGATGAAGCACAGCTGGAACAGTTTGTGCTGGAGTCATGCTGTGACTTCCTGGGGTTTGAAAAGGATGTTGATGACAAAATTTAAGTTGTAAGTTGGGAATGCATCTCCATAGGTACCATGCCATAATGACTTCCTATAATACTGATTCACTTTGTGCTTCCATTTCCAGAAAGCAGTCTCCCACTAAATAATGCATGCTTATTGCTAGGAATGTCACCTAGATTCTGAATAGGACCTTGTTATGGATGCTCTGGAATAATTTTGAACTCATCGGTGGTTTTGGACTAGATCCGTTTCAACTCTGAGTCTATCATTTTATGATATTAGTTTAGGTACAGAAACACTCTGAGAAGCTCTCGTTGTGCTTCAGTTTTGTTGGGTGTGGGTGATTCTAATCACTGTAATTCTCTGCTTTTTTTTTTCCTCCAAGAAATTTATGCTTTTCAAAAAGCCAGTTCCCAGTAGCCAACTAATCCCACTTGGCCCTCAACACCTGGGACTCCAACTGAGATGATTTGGAAAGCACAGCTAAAGTTGGGAAGGAGTCTGAATCTGGGTGTGTGTGTGTGTGTGTGTGTGTGTGTGTGGCTCTTAACCGATTGACTGTATCTGCCATTTTGCAGTAATGAAAATAGAGGTCTTTACAGTAATACCGGCTGAGTTGAATAAAGACTGATTGTTGGCCTCCCTGGGTGTTTCTGATCAAGGAGATTCCCTCCTTGATTGTGTAGTCATTTGTTTTTCTTATAAAAAGCAGCTGATACGTCAATCAGCTTTAATGAAGGAACCAACTGCATATGCATGGGGTGTGAATTCCCTCGTTTCTGGAGTCAGGGTGTCAAGCTCATTCAATAGCTGACAGCAGTGATTAGAGCAAAGAACGTCTCCAGCATAAAAGGCACTGACAGGAGAGCCCAACCGCTGAAAAAGAAATAAAAAGTAGCCAAACTGACTTCCAACCAACAGTCAGGTTTGACTCACTGTGCACAGGAAATCAATGAGGAGAACATGAGCCGTTTTCTCCTTATCCGTTTTTCACTTCTAATTATTCCTTGAAGGTAGGTTGGTTTAATTTTTATGCCTTTTTTGGAGACTGTAACGAATATTCAGTGCTGTGCCAGCTAAGTGTCTTTGCAGTGTCTCACATGTTCCCTACTCTCCTCAACACTTGTGAATTCCTTCTCTACCCTCCCATCCCCTCACCTTTTCTCTTAACTCACAGTAAGTACTAAATAACTTTGAACTTAAGTGAAAGTATTAATGAGTAATGCTTTTGCAGGACTCTGACTTAACCCCGAAAGTGATTCGTTAAAGTCCACTAATTCCTCATCTGTGATTTTGTCAAAAGGAGATGATTTTCTTCTGGAGGGTCTCTCTTGTCCTTTGATAATTTGCTGCTGCTCTCTGGTTAGCCTGAAGAAATCCAGGTAACTTCATGATCTTGAGTTTTCTCTTGGAATCTTCTATGCCACCACATATAGCTATCTTTGGCATTCCCGCCAGTAGGCAAATACTATGAACCAGGCCATGGGATATATTTTGTGGCCATTTTCTCATAAGGCATTGTTGATCAACTTAAACAGAACTTATCCAGGACTCTACCCGTTTCCCTTTAGAAAATAGACACTAGATTCTTCTAAAATGCTCCTTAATACTAAAGCAGAATTAGAGAATGTCAGTGATATCAATAAATATTCCACATGACTGACCCAATGATATAAAATCAGAGAATTATAGATTTAAGATTTCAGAAAATTGGTCATTTTCTAATTCTTATTAGGACAAAGGTACCTTCTGGGGTAATTCTTTTCGTAACTTAAGTGTAACATAAATATTTACTTCCCATAAAGTAATCCTGTGGTAATCTGTTGGAATTAAGTGGTTTCCTAGAGCACAGGATTTGGAGTTGCAGGCAGCTAGGGATGAAGTTTCTAGGTGTGTTTTAATAGAGTTCTGTTTCCTTATTTGTAAGGTAAGAAAGATAATATCTACGGCTGTCTATGGCTGAGTAATACTCCATAATACACATATACCACATTTTCTTTAATCCACTCATATATCGATGGACACTTGGGTTGTTGCCACATCTTTGCAATTGTGAATTGTGCTGCTATAAACATTTGGGTGCAGGTGTCTTTTTTATAAAATGTCTTTTTTTCCTTTGGATAAATACCCAGTAGTGTGATCACTACTGGGTATTTGCTGGATCAAATGGTAGGTCTACTTTTAGTTCTTTGAGGCATTTCCATACTGCTTTCCATAGAGGTTGTACTAGTTTGCACTCCCACCAGCAGTGTATGAGTGTTGTTTTCTTCAACGTCTTTGACCTTCACACCCGCTCTAGGAAAGATCTCCAGAGTTCACGTTGTTGACTTTCTCACTAAAGAACATCTTTCTCTTTCTCCTCTTACACAACCTGTTACTCATTTAGGACCTTCATCTACTATTAATCTCATTTTTGTCCACAATTCCCATTTTTAAACTTACAGCCCCAGCAAGCAGTTCCCATCTCAGCGCATTGCATATAATACGTATTCTCAGTATCTCAGGGTCGAGGGCAAGCTGTAAATATTTCCCGGTCTATTAATTTGTTCAAAGAATAAAGGAAGGGCTGAAGGAAACAATAAATACCATGCACTTTATGTACCCTTTCATTTCCCTGGTGACCCAGTCCCGAGGTCTCTGATCCATTCAGTTTCAAAATTAGGTTGATTGGTAAGTACTAATATAACACACAAAAAAGCAAGTGCACCAAAAAAATGTATAGTGAGTGAGCTACCACAAAGTGCACTCCTGCAGAAGCCCCAACCAGGTCAAAATAAATTAAACACTGCCTACACCCCAGAAGCTTCCATGTGGCGCTTCCCAATCAATCATCACTCTGAGCCTCCTCCCAAAGTTAGTCATCTGACTTCTAACGTTGTAATTTAGTTTGCCT